TGCTGCTTGGCCTGCTGTGTTCATCCAGCCCTGCACCTTGTTGTCTCATACCTAGAAACGAGGTGTCAACCTGGTGAGGCTGCCACACAGCAGCACAGGACACAGGCAAAGAGTGAAATTAGCCTACAATAAATAGAGCTGCCAATCCCACACCAATGGATCGAATCTAGGTTCTGTTATCCTCTCACAGCCAGTTGTGAATGGTGGTGAGCAATTAAACAACTAGCAAGGAGTTGGTGGATCCACAAATATCTCCATCCTCAACAACGGGGGTTTCCCAGCACATTTAAAAGTCAGGAGTGTGATGAAATACTCCCCACTTGCCTGGATCTGTGCATTTCCAACAATACTCAAGAAACTTGGCACTGTCCAGGACAAAACACCTTCAACACTCATTGAATTCATTACCAACACAGTGATAACTGTGTGCACCGTTGCAAAATACACTGCAGTACCTTATCAAAACTACTAGGACAAGTCCTTTCAAACCTGTGACCTTTACCACTCAGAAGGACAAGAGCAACCGGTACATGTGAACACCACCCCCTGTATCTTCCCATCCAAGGTACACATCAGCATGACTTCAAAATATATTGCAGCTGCTTTACCTTCCTTAGGTCAAAATACTGGAACCTCTTTCCTAGCAGAATTGTGGTATTCCTACACCCCAAGGACTGCACCAGCTCAGGAAGACAGCTCACTACCAGCTTCTCAACCAATTCAGAACGAGCGGTGAATACTGGCCAAGCCAGTGACACCCCATCCCAGGAACAAACAAAATAATCTTAAAACAATCGTGTCCATTTAAGTAGATGATATAACAATGAGGCAAGTAGATTCTCCTTTAATGGAAAGTAGAAAATGAATGTTCATCTGAAATGATCCACTAACAATATTAAATTTCCAAAAACCCCCTTTCAAAAGTCACAAATAGCTTCTCTTTTGTAAAGGAACTTGAGTTCTAAATGATTTTAAAGGAATGGGAATGAATTAACATCATTTGCAATTAACTTTTCCCTTACATGTAGGAAACACAGAAAATGTATCATCTTAAAGTAACTGGAAACCTGGTCAATGGGACAATGGACTTACATGAAGGCCCTCGATGTGGTGTCACTGCCACCAAACACATCAAGGTGATTCCACATCAACACATATTTCAAAAGCATAACATCACCTACAGGTACAGATTTTGCTGAAGTGTCATGCCCTGTTCATTCAGTAACATCGTATAGCCTTACAGGAACCATCTCGATTGAACACATTATTTACCCATTATTTAGTTATTATATTGATTCATTTTCCAATAACCTCAGTTGGAAAGATTGATTGAATACAGCTTAACCAGCCTTTTCATAATCCAGAAAATGATATCAAATAACCAATGCCTCAGTACAATCAGAGTCACTGAACTGTGTTCCAATTGCTCAGATTTTGGTCACTTTGGTTGGCAGGTGATAGAAAAATAGTTCTCCAAAGTCATATAGCAAGTTGCAAATTTCTGGTTTTTTGGGGAACATTAATTTGCTAAAACTGCAATCAGCTAAGTTATTTAATAGTACTTTGACAGTGGTGTGACAGTTTTATATTGATATTATTGCTTTCTATTATTAATATTGAAATTAGTTTATTTATAACGATAGTTCTTTAACTATTTAGTCTGAATAAGTTTCCATGTATCTGTCCACTTTTCAAAATCACAAAGGGTGACAAAGCCCTTCACAACTGCATTTGACCTACTAAGGGCATCATATATCTACACCCTCCCTTCCAATCATTACCTCAAAATGCAATGGTACCATACCCACAGCATCTCAGCTCTTCAAAAGGATACCCTGTTTATACAAAATAAACTCACTGGAACAGGCCCGCTCTAATCTGTGCATTCCATGTTCAAGACACTGGGGATTTGAAAATGGAATTCAAATGGAGACAGTTGACTATGTAAATGACCAGCCATCTCTCCAAGCTGTCCCAAAACCTGTTGCTGTGAAAATCCGAGATAATGTTTGCAAGAGAGAATGGGAGTCCTGGCTTTTCAGGAATTCCACTGTTTTGTTTTTGCCACAATGAAAAGTCCCTCAAGCATGGTGGAAATCTGAGCCTATATTAAATAATCAGTGCTACAAAGAAACCAGAGCCTCAGAATGATCTTACTGTTGGATTATGCTTGCATTTAGATGATTACAACTTCTAAAAGGCAGTCTGCTTGACAGAAGGTGGAGAAATCCCTTGGGGCAAGTTGTCAGTGTTGGAACTTTAAGGGTGGATGTTGATTTGTAAAGACTACACCTGATCTCCAATCTGGGAGTGATAACGATATCTCAAATGTCCACAACTACAACGACATTCATTTAATCAATGGTTCATTCTTGCTGCTGAATCTGAAAGGATCTGTTGCAGCTATGCCTGAGCCCGAGATAATGACATTTAAGATCTGCATGGGACAGCCATCATCTCTGTCTGAGGCTGTGACAGAAATGTACAAATTCAAGAAGGCACACCTTATTAGGAGAATCAGGGGTTACAGGGAAAATGCAGGGAAGTGGACATGAGGAATGCTGGATCAATCATGCACAGGAATTTCTGGACAACATCAGGAACATAAAAATCGACAAGGAGAAAATGATGGTGTCCTTTGACAGCACAGCACTATTCACCTCCTATCAACATGACACTAGCAAAGGAGACACAGGCCACATTACTGGACAATCCGAAAACACAAACCTCCATTGAAACCATCAGCAAGCTGCTAAACATACGCCCTACCACACACTGTGTCTTCAACAGCCAGGTATATGAACAAATTAATGGAAAACCCATCTGGGGGCTCATAGCGGAAGCTGTTATGCAAAGACTGGAACACACAGCCCTCCCCCAGATCCAGCCTAAACTATGGGTTAGAGATGTAGACGATGCCTTCGTGATCGTTAAACGAGCAAAGTTAGAAGAAACACACCACTTTATTAACAGCGTATTCTATATTCACTGGGATCAAGTTCACCAGGGAAGAAGGGAAATACAATCAACTCCCATTTCTAGGCGTAATGGTGGAAAGAACGAACAATGGGGAGTTCCTTACCAGCATACACAGAAAAACTACACACACAGAGACCAAATCCTGAATTATAACAGTAACCACCCCAATATCCACAAATAGAGCTGTGTCAAGGCCTGTTTAAACTCATTGCAACATCCCAGAGCTGCGCAAAAACGAACAGGAACACCTATACGGAGTCTTTGCGAACAATGATTATCCTAACAGCTTCGTCTGCCAATGCCTGGCAAACAAACAACACCCAAGAAGACATTGTACGCCCCAACACAGTGGCTGCCCTACCCTATGTTAGAAACAGATCTGAACTGACAACAAGACTCCTACAACCTCGTGGAATAAGGATAGCACACAAACTAACAGCCACACTTCACCAGTTACTCTCAAAGACGAAAGACCCCATACCCACAATGAGCAGGACAAATATGATATATAAAATACCACGCAGCAACTGTGAGAAACACTGCATAGGACAGACGGGCAGGAAACTCACCACCAGGATACATGAACACCAACTCGCAGCAAAATGGCACGACTAACTCTCCCTCATTTCAATACGCACCGACATAGAAAGAAATCAATTTGACTGGGACAAAGTTACAGTATTAGGACAAGCAAGACAAAGACAAGCACAAGAATTCTTGGAGGCCTGGTTTTCAACCACTGATGGAATTAACAAATATTTTGAAATAGACCCCATCTACATACCAGTACGATACAAAACCGGAAACAAGACTGCCCACCATGACAGACCGGACCATATAAATTCACAGCAGGACAGAACAACAGCGCTTCAACAGAGGCTACAGAGCACTGACAATGTCACCGAGAAGGGAGACAAAACATTTGCATGAAAACCAGTCAGCTCGGCGAACCAACCAACAACTCCAATCCCAACCCAAGCTACGGATCTTCATTAAAGGATCAACCATGATCCTATTGAATGGCAGAGAAGGCTCAAGCATTGAACAGCCTTCTCCTGTTCTTATTTCTTATGGCTTTATGTTCTAAAACCCTTTTGTAGGACACAGACAGTTCTGTCAGTGGTTGTCAGGTGACCATTGTTCAGAGATTTGCTTTTGCTGCTGTTGTTTCTCAGCAATAGCTGAAGGTATCTGTCATTTTCATAGCTGACCATTGCACGTGCCAGTTACTGTGTTGGAGGTTTTCCCCAAGTGCAGGGCATTATAGATGGGAAGTATGTGGAACAGTATAAGTTCACAATCAAGATGAGTACCATTCTCAACTAATATCAGAAGAGAAAATGAATGTATTTCTTCACAACTGGACTAGTGAGCTTGAGACTGTGATAGTGACAGTGCTTGACATGTGCCTGAGTGTAACATCAAGGAGCCCGAATATAGAAACATAGAAACATAGAAGATAGGAGCAGGAGGAGGCCATTCGGCCCTTCGAGCCTACTCTGCCATTCTTCACCATCATGGCTGATCGTCCAATTCAACACAGCCTAATCCTGCTTTCTCCCTGTAACCTTTGATCTCATTCGTCCCAAGTGCTTTACCTAGCCGCATCTTGAATACATTCAATGTTTTGGCATCAACTATTTCCTGTAGTAATGAATTCCACAGGCTCACCATTCTTTGGGTGAAGAAATGTCTCCTCATCTCTGTCCTAAATGGTCTACCCTGAATCCTCATACTGTGACCTCTGGTTCTGTATCGCTGCTCCTTTAGTGTAGCTGGAGCACAACCTTGGAACTCTCTTCGCAATGACACTGTGGGAGTTCCTGCATCACATAGACTGCAGTGGTACAAGAAAGCAATTCACCACCCACTTTGTCAGGGCAGATAGGAAGAGGCAATTAATGCTGACCCAGCCAGCAAAGATCACAGTCCTGACTGAATTTTTAAATAAAATGTGGTGAGATGTTTTGTGAAGGGTAATAACTGATCTCAGAAACAACTGCATGCGATCATAGTCATTATCCGCTGTAGTGATTGGAACAAAGGCCATGTGGATCTCACTGACTATGCAATCTTTGATTGGGGTTATTAAACTAGGCCAATTAGGGAGCCCTGGCTGACAGATATAAACTGGGGATTTAATTTGATTTCGCCCCTACCCTCCTCCTTTACTTTCTTCACGTAAGCATTGCCCTTATCTGGCTTTGCTTGTTAATGTTTCTCTAGCCACATGGTGTTTTCCTGGTGGTGGAAAATATAGAATAAGATTCTTGCACAATTGTGTCCTTTTACTGAGTCGCTACACACACAACCACGGGTGAAGTCGGGAAAATCGAAACAGCAGTGCTGGGGCCCCTTTGGGTGCAGTAGTAGTTTGGGGGAATAAAAGGAAATAAGAAGAAAAAACAGGAGATTGAGAGAGTCTCCTCATTCTAGGGTCTGGCTCTGAGCTGACTGGTCAGAGCCCCAGTACTGTGCATGTGTAATTAATGAATGACTTGGTGATAGGATATCGGCCTATGTGCAGTTATTTCACCCCAAAGTGTTTAAGAACAGCGATGTATTGATTTTGACTTTATACAGGGTACGAGAATATACAACTGACTTACCACGGAAAGTTGTGGATGAAGTTTTGAGACGAGCTTTCGAACTTTGGAGTAACGTCACTGCATTGTCATTTACAAAAACTACATCCGTAGCAGACATTCAAATTACCTTTGCTGCTCGAGGTATGCTCAAACAATAAAATTAAACAATTTAATACATGAAACTGATGCCATTAGACATCATGCAGTGGTCTGTACCTTAACAGTCCTCACCAAACACCCCCTCTGCAAGTTCTCCAGCAGCAGGGAGGTGCGAGTGGCCTGAGTAAATTGGAACTTTAAGTAGGCAATTAATGATTCCTTAAGGACTCCCTCCAAACAGCACCGGGATTGTACCTCCAGAGCAGTGTGTTTGCTCTCATTACCTCCTGGCTGGGTTTGGGCAGTGGGTGCTTCTGCCTTGGTACCTACATCCCTTTCCTTCCCGGCCAGAAATCATCCTCTTTAACCTGTCAGTCCCTGTTTGCATCAGGGCCTTACTGCTTGGTCCCTGTGAAACACTGGATTCACCTCACTGTCCAAATTCCTTTGCGTTAAAAGCCTTTCCCAGGACTACTGCAGATTGAGCAGCGGTCCCTGCTTCCAACCACAGGCTACCTAATTTGCCAGACATTGTAGAAGACAAGACTTTCTCTTGGAAGGATGTGGAAGTTACTCCACAAGCCAATTAACAGCCTGATAGCTGTGAAAAGAGATGTGAGATGTGTCAGCCAAATAGAGGGAAGCTTGTATTCATTTCCAAGATTAAAGGAAATCCTGGGGTAAAATTTACACCATAAATTCAAATCCCAGCTCAACTGCTGTGAACTTAAACTCAATGTATTAAATAAATATCATGCAATAGTGGGATTACCTGTTACTACCAAAATATTTTTACTTCATGGTCAAACAAATAGTTATCATATTTTTATCTGTAGCTGCCAATGAATATCTCCTGACAGATTTGTTTAATATTACTTTCTAGATCATGGTGATGAGTTTCCATTTGATGGACATGGTCATGTTCTGGCTCATGCCTTTCCCCCTGGGCCAGGCCTTGGAGGTGATGCTCATTTTGATGAGGATGAAACTTGGGTAACAGGAAGTAACGGTAAATGTTTTTCATCATCCCTTGAAACTCAATAAATTCAGTTGCTAATGGCAAGCACCCACTACTGCTGCTCCTGCACCTTTGAGTTTTGTCAGGAACAGATCATTTGCTGCAGGAGTGAATTTGATTCGGAACTTTAAATGGTGACACATTGCAACCTCTTGTGGAATTATGCATAAGCAATAATCTTCCTTTCTTACAAAGTAAACTAAGATTATAAGAGCTGGAGATGGCATCTGGATTCTTTATCAGGGAATCTTTAATTTACCAGGAGGTCATATTTCACAGTCCATGCCTCTAATGGTCAGATTCTGCAGTAGAAATGCATATTCTATAATTTGCCCCCATTTACACAATTACTGGGCTAATGAATTCAGAGAAAATGTGAGTTCGTAATAAATATATTGTGGCAGAAATTTAGATTAAAGTACTGGATATGAAGTTCAGAATGCTGTTCCAAAGTGTAGCAGATCCAGGAAGTTCAGCACTGACACGCCCAGGCAAGAATTTGCTTCAACAATTTATACAGGCGATTGTTCTTGCATAATGTACTTGTATAAATGTCCTCAGTCTGGAATAGTTAACACCATTAGAACAGTTGTGATGCTAGCAGTTTGTCTGGTGTGAATCCTGGCAGAGTTGGCAGTAAGACAAAGGTATGGCTCTGGGTAAGGCAAGCATAAATGGGGGAGAACAAAGGCTGGCAGAGAGGAACAAGAAATGTTGAAGCTTATTAAAGAATATATTTCTGGACACTGAGAGAATTTCTAACAGGAAGTAGGTGGGAAAGAAAATTAATTTTTAACATATTCCTTTGAAATTTTGCCAGTTTTCTTTAGTGGTGAATAGCCTGACTGGTGGCAGATATCCCTGCTTCATTCTGAAATATACCATTTTTGGTGCAACTACTGGACAACATCATCTGGTCAATTGTATCTTGTACCGTTATGTCACAACAAAGTGGGAGGTCACACCAGTTCTGCCTTCAGAAATCAGAAAAGAATGGATAATTGCCATTAAAAAGCTAATTTGATTAAAATTTGAGAGACTATCAGAACTAAAACAGTAGATGATAATCCAAGTTCCGAACATGAACCAATCTCACTACCAATTTGGAAGAGAATCTGAAAGAAACAATATCTTCTAATGAAGAACAATTGGCAAAAGACCAAAACATCAGTACTGTCAAAAACTTCAACATTAGCTAAAGACGAGATATGACAAAAACTTTACAATTAGCACAGTTCCAGCTACCTAATAGACTTTGTTCTTCATGTCAGTAACCAGATCAGATTGTTTGGATTAATATCTTGTCCCCAATACAGCTCTGGTACAAATTGTAAAATTGAGGTGAGAAATCCAAAGCAGGGTTACGGGGATATTTCTATATACTTTATTCCCCTTTCAACACCAGTACCAAAATGGAAGAGAAGAAAATGAAAAGCTTGAATTAAAATCTTTGACTGCTCAAGAATCTGGTACATGATGGATGATTTTCTTTTTGAGGTGCTGCGTTACCATAATGGAACGAGTAAATCATATGGTCACCCTACACCTGTTTTGCCAGTGAGCACTGCCTGAATGTTAAGGAAGTTTAGAATGAGAACAGAGTCATTGTCACCGGTTAGACATGTCATTGAAATCTGATCAACATCCTGTCAAAGTGTGTGGCCAATGAGTGTGTCCCAAGGTCGTCACATTAAATGTGGTTTCATGTGGGCTTCAGCCAGAGACCATCGACCATACCCTGATGCAATGGAGTATCAGTGACAGTGGGAGGGATGAGTCAATAATCTGCATAAGAGCAACAGATGTATATGGGCCATTGTCACCTGTGTTGGGGCTGGGGAGTCACAGTGGCTGTTCTCTTGGCAATACTTTTGCTTACCTTAAATGGGGGGGGGGAATATGGAAAGGGTGCACCAGTAAAAAGGCTACTCCAACTTATACTGACCAGGGAACCACATCATTGGGGTTACCATCTTTGTGGTCAAAGAAAGATGGTTCTTAGTTTTGCAAGTTGGAATCTCATGGATAATCTCTCGTGTGATTATTCAGGAAGAACTGCAATTGTATCAAATGAGTTACAGGGTTCTAAATTCACATCATCACTGTTCCTGGGAGGAGCAGCTGAAAGAACAACTTGGGGATATGTATACTCAGAGAATGGCAAAGGAAAGGAGTGCAATCTTTATGACCAGGGAATTTGTTATGCAGGATATAAGATGCACAACCAGAAATCTCTAATTGTATGAATGAAAGGCTCATGGCACGTTACCTGCACATAGAACCACAACCAATATACGACCATAATTAGTGCTGACCACCTGACCAATGACTCAGATGAAGACATTTTGAAAAAGCTCTATTCTGATTTTGATGTAGTCTTCATTGCCATCTCAAACAAAGGGGGGAAAAAAGCATTCTTCTGAAAGATTTTATGTTAGAGTTAGCCATGATTTAATACATGAAATGGAACAATTGAGAAGGGTGTAGTGAGAGAGGCCAATGCAAACAATGTCCTCCTGCTGACAACAATGTGTTCAGCATTATCATAAAAACACTATTCAGGCAGAACAACAAACAAAACCATTCAAAAAGATTCAACATCAAAGCACAGGCACCTCTTGAATTATATTGTTGTTCAAGACACTCGATTCATGTGGGTACTGATGCTTCCTAGACAGATCATCGACCTGTTTGATTGGTGATGAACATCGATCGAGTACCAAGATATTGGAAGCCCAAAAGTGCAAAAGTCAAAAGATCAATTTCTGAACCGAAGGGAGGATTTCCATTTGCAACTCATGACCATTCTGGAAATTCTTCACACATTTGTCTATTTCTCAGAAAACTGGAATCAAATAAATTCACTTATACTAGATCCTGTCCCTAGACCATTGCATTTGAGCATTGTCAACTCCAGGATTGGTTTGACAAAATAGTTCTTTAAATACGTGGTCTCCTGGATCAAAAATGAACAGCCACCAATCCTAGGCAGAACAACCCAATGTGACCACTCAAGAAAACAACATTCCATCACCTGACGCTGACAGGAGTGGACTCCACTCAAAGACAAATTTGGAAGTAAAGGAACATGTCACGAAAAGGGAAAACCCAAGGTATCTAACAATGTGTTGATATTGTGGCAGGAAACAGGAAGCTCAGGGTCAAATGTTCTGGACTCTGTTTCAGAAGTTTGGCATTTTGAAATTTACATTATTTTGTATTGGTTGATTTGTGAGCTCTACTGAATGTAGATTAAAACAGCTATCTGTTTGCCTTCACCTCTCTGCTCAGTTTCTGGTTCATTTGAAACGAGTTAACTTTGAAACAATATTAATTTGTGACCTATAGGAAACATATTAGTGAAAAGTAAAAGATTGAGGTATCTTTGCTGTATATTTCTTAATTTGTCATTTTAAAATCAATTTCATTCATGATTGACAAAAGAACTAAGATATCATGCAAATAAATAATGAAACATTTTGCCCAATAATGATATTTTACATAATGTTTTAATATTTTTTAGGAACCAACTTGTTGATTGTTGCTGCCCACGAAATTGGACACTGTCTGGGGCTCAATCATTCTGAGGATAAAAATGCTTTGATGTATCACAAGTATAACTATGCTGATACACACGGGTATACACTTCCAAGTGATGATGTGAAAAGAATCCAGTCATTATACGGTACAACAAGATTGACTCATATTTATATGGTATCTTTAATGTAATCAGAAACACTGCCAAATGCAATTTGACATATTACTGCTTAAGGGGATATTGGGGAGGTAAGTTCGGGCAAAGTGATAGATTCTAATTCCAGTCCAGGAAGAAAGACAGGTAGAAAGGTTGAACAGTTTACAGATGAAATTCCAGAGTATAGAACCTTTACTGTTGAAGGCATGAGAGCTAATTGTAGAGAGATTAAAATCAGGAATACCAAACAAGCAAAACTGTGGAAGTAGAGACATCCCAGAAGACATGAGAAAGATTGGAGGTGGAAGGCCATCAAGAGATTTGTAAACAAGCTTGAGAATTTAAAAATCAATGGATTGCTTAATTGGGAGCTGAAGTCAGTCAGTGACTACCAAAGCTTTTGCACCTTGTGTCTTTTTATCTCATTATTGATTACAGAAACTTTTAACTCCCAACTTTATTGTCTAAAATATCTTAATAAAATTTTCTTTTCCACTTCTCTCTCAATTTTTAAAATCAGGTCAAATTCATTCTCAACTAATTCTTCCACATGACCACGTATCAACTTACCAGTCCTGAATAAGGGTAATACCCGAAATGTTGACTGCTCCTTTCCTCTAGATGCTGCCTGGCCTGCTGCGTTCTTCCAGCCTTCTGTTTGTCTACCTTGGATTCCAGCATCTGCAGTTTTTTTTTGGTCTCTAATCAATTTACCTTCTTGTTTTGCAAATTTGAGGGTAAAATTTCTGCAGGAGTTCTATTGATCTCTTAGAATGTCATAACTGATGCTGTGGAAACTTTGGAGTAACGACATAAATATTTCATGTTACAATTTTCCTGGGGGTTCTGCAATTATTTCCACTAAATAACGCAGGGTGATGTGGAGAAATCCTATGGAAATTCCATTTCATTCCTCCTGGAGTAGAAGAATGCTAACCGTTTTGCATGTGGCAAAGTATTGTGTACAAGCAAAACACAACTCATCTAATTCCAGTTCCTTATAGACGTTCTTTCACAAAAATGTGACACTGATTTTCCTCTTAAATTAACAATATAAAAATTCATTTTTCCTTTCCCAAAACCATCTTTGATAAAGTCTTGTGCCGTCTTCAATTTTTCAATTTTTGAAATGAATTTAAAATATCAGTCGGCTTTACATCTGTGTGCCAAATTATTGGGTTTATATTGTAATAATATCGTCCTTTAATTCCATGTTATTTATAAGGCTGTGTTTGTGTCCAACATCACTGGTAGGTGCAAAAACCACATGTGCACTTGCAAAGTCAGATTGTTGCCCTAAACTTGCATCACAGAAATGTCTGCCAAATTGTCAGACTGATGCTTATCACATAAATAATTAATATTTACAGATACTGGGCTGTGAACAGTTTGCCTAAAATCATGATGTGGTATGATCATTTTGGGACTGCATAGAAACACAGAAAATAGAAACAGGAGTAGGCCATTCAGCCCTTTGTTCCAGCCTCACTATTCAATATTAACATGTCTGATCATCCAACTCAGTTACCTAGTTCCATTTCCTCCCCACATTTTTTGACCCCTTTAGCTGTAAGAACTATCTATATATCTAACTCCTTAAAAACTTTCAATGTATTGGCCTCAGCCGCTTTCTGTGGCAGAGAATTCCACAGGCAAACTTTTCTCAAACTTTTGTGTCTTCTGCCCAATGAAATAAGGTGGAAGAGAGTATAACCAGGGTGGAGGGGGGTGGGGGGAGGTGTTGGTGCTTTTGATTATGTTGGCTGCTTTCCCGAGGCAACAAGAAGTATAGGAAGTCTCAATGGAAGGAACATCCTTCAACTGTGGGCCCAGGTTCTGGGCTCCCCAACCATCATGAACATTTATTCACTCTGTCGAGTCCTGGTAGAATTGTATAGGTTTCTATGGAATCCCCTTTAATCTTCAAACTCCAGTGAATATAGTCCTAACCAATCCAGTCACTCTTCGTAGATCCGTCCTGCTATCCCAGGAATCTGTATGGTAAACCTTTATTTCACTCCATTGACAGTCAGAACATCCTTCCTCAGATAAGGAGACCAAAACTGCACACAATACTCCAGATGTGATGTCACCATGGCCCTGTACAATTGCAGCAAGACATTCCTATACTCACATCTTCTCTCTGTGAGGTCAACATATCATTTACCTTCTTCACCACCTGCTGTATCTGTATGCGTACTCTCAGTGATTGGTGTACAAGGACAGCCAGGTCTCATTGCCCCTCCCCCTTTCCCAAACTATCACCATCCAGAGAATAATCTGCCTTCCTTTTTTATACAGTCATAGAACTGTAGCTCAGAAACAGACCCTTCGATCCAACTCATCCATGCCAACCAGATATCCTAGTTAAATCTAGTCCCATTTGCCAGAATTTGGCCCATATCTCTCTAAACCCTTCTTATCATATGCCCACCCAGTTGCCTTTTAAATGTTGTAATTGTACCAGCCTCCACCACTTCCTCTGGCAGCTCATTCCACACATGGACCACCCTCTGTGTGAAAAAGTTGCCCCTTTGGTCCCTTTCAAAACTTTCCCCTATCACCTTAAACCTATGTCCTCTCATTTTTGACTCGCCCACTCCAAGGAAAAGACCTTGTCTAGTTACCCTATCCATACCCTTATAAGGCCATCCCTCAGCCTTCGACATTCCAGGGAAATTTGCTACCAAATAGGATAATCTCGCATTTATCTAAATTATACTGCATCTGCCAATACCATAGAAGTGAAGGTCTGGTATATATGTTATTCCTGAACAAAGAAAGCCATTTTTTTCAAACATTCCTCTTTATGTAATTTTTCTTTAAGACAGGCCCTAATTGTAATATGAGCTTGAGGAAAACAACGTTCTGACAACTGTTAAACTATTAACAAGATTCATTTGCTGTTATACAGACTATTTACAAATGCATATGAAACCATGTGTGTACAGGTAGCTTTAGAACACTCTCTTGAGTAACAGACATATTTCACATTTAAAATCATATATTTTTAAATTTAGGACCCCCAGTTATGACCACACAAATGCTTGGCCAGACTCCAACTCAGAAACGAAGTCCAGGCGATACTGAGAAACAAAGACCAGGCGATACTCCTACTTCATCACCAGGCCCGACTGTAACTCAAACACCAGGCCTGATTCAGAAACGAAGACCAGGCCAGATTCAGAAACAACAATCAGGCCAGACTCAGAAACGAAGACCAGGCCAGAATCCTACTTCATCACCAGGCCAGACTCAGAAACAACGACCAGGCCCGACTCAGAAACAAAGACCAGGCCAGACTCAGAAACAAAGACAATGGCAGGCTCCTACTCAAATACCAGGCCAGACTCAGAAACAAAGACCAGGCCAGACTCAGAAACAAAGACCATGGCAGGCTCCTACTCAAACACCAGGCCCAACTCAGAAACAAAGACCAGGCCAGACTCCTACTCCATCACCAGGCCTGACTCAGAAACAAAGACCAGGCCAGACTCCTACTCAAATACCAGGCCAGACTCAGAAACAACGACCAGGCCCGACTCAGAAACAAAGACCAGGCCAGGATCCCGCTCAAACACCAGTCCCGAATGTAGCTCAAACACCAGGCCCAACACAGAAACGACCAGGCCAGAATCCTACTCCATCACCAGGTCAGATGCCAACTCAAACACCAGGCCCGACTCAGAAACAAGGACCAGGCCAGACTCCTCCTAAGGAATCATTGATGTGTGATCCAGATGTGTTCATGGATGCAGCTGTTAAAATAACCAGACGTGTTTTGTTCTTCAAGAATGGGTAAATATTATACTTACAAAATCGTCTTCTCAGTTTAAAATGCAGCATTAATAGTTGCATACCAACACGTCTACCAATCAGAGTCCACTTCACAACCAATGAGCAGTCTCCTCTCCTGAAGCATAACTGATGGCTTTCTCTTTGATTTGGTATTCATGTGAAAAGTCCTGATGATTGCAAAACAAAAACGTTTTGACAAAACGTGTACTTTCCAACAATACTCAAATTCTATATTACCAAACTACTATTTTCAGATTCTGATGGACCTGTGATATTCAAATAATTTGTTACTCTGCTGACATTGCTCACAGTTAAAGTTTCTGTTTTTTTTCACATATCCTTTCTCTGAGCATTCTCAAAACAAAGTAATTAGCAATGAAATCTGATTATTTCCTCTGCAACAGACTAATTAATAGGGAAACAATTCTATATCTATATGTATGATTGAAGGTCCTAACTAAAATATTTATACCTTTGTTATGAGGAGCAAACATGGCAATTCTTCCCCATAAAGATAAATGAAAATATATTGAGATAGTTGCTTATTAAGTATGAATGACTAAGTGCTCCAGCTGTCAACAGAAAAGTAAAAAACTATCCCATCAAACACTTTAATCATTGATGCAACTTTGTTCATTGTCGTACAGGTTCTACAAGACTGCACTGTCATCAAGGATAATTGCAGTTAACACCACTTGGCCAAGTATCACATCAAATATTGATGCTGCTGTTCAATACTGCAGAAGAGGCCAAAGGACAAATGATGTTGTTTTTTTCGCAGGTTACAAATTCTTATGTATGTTTACGCTAAGTCTGTTGTAATACATTTTTCTAATGCATTTTGCTCAGACAACAAATATGGTTTGTGTAGAATTTGTTTTCAAATCAAGCAAAATGCATGGGTGAAATCCTGCTACAGTATGCACACAGCTTGTTAGACTCTTACCTTCACTCTTCAACATATACATTGTAAATTGCTAGAAATGACAGCTTAGAAAGTGTGGCAGGAATAACAGGCCTTTGTGAAATTTACAATTTTTAACATCATGGGGAAAATTTTAAAAAGGCAGGAATAAAACTCAACAAATCAAATTATCACATGCTAGAAAGGGGTTTGTGCTGTTAATTATGAAAACAAATTTACTGCGGCAAGTTTAATGGTCAATTAACATGCAAATCCAGCAACGCTTTACTAATAGCGGGAGGCTGAGAGTGAGATCATTTATGTGAAAATGCGAATGGCAAGTGGTATGAATTGTGCAGCAAATTCTGGAGATTCAGTCGGTGCCTCAGTAAACCCCCCAAACAGCTGAAAGATGTGTGCATTTATATCATGCAGACCTTTTAACACCTCTGATCACGTTGTCAAGTTCCGACACCACTCTTTTTTCACAAACTTCCTCCTGCAACACAATAAACAGTACTTTTAATAACTCCATACTGGCACAAGAAACTTTGAAGTTCCACACCTGAAAGGTGGATGATATCTTTTCAATGGAGAAGCTGGCAGTGGAAATGCTGGTTAGGGTACTCCCCCATGCAGACGAACACATGCTTGTCTCAGCACAGTAAGAGAGGGTATAACCAAGATCCGCAGAGCCCAAAAGGCCAGATCATGCACCAAGTTACCCAACAAAGCCATGGTAGTGTACTGACAGAAGGGCAGGTCTGCTCAGGTTGCAGTGTAAGTGTTCTCCAACTTTCTACGGGCCAAATCGCGCAGCCTGCAGACTCAGTCACCTCTTTCTTCCCAGGTACGTTATACTTATCACATGTCATGTCCCAAATTAATGCATCCAAAGACTCAATTTTGACTTGCTGATTTAGTTTGCAAGTTATTTTGGAGTAGTTATTGAGGAGCAGTTGTTTGAAACACTGGGAGAGGCAATGGCCTAGCAGTATTATCGCTGGACTGTTAATCTAGAATCCCAGGTAACGTTCTGGGGAGAGATAGTAGGAACTGCCGATGCTGGAGAATCTGAGATAACAAGGTGTAGAGCTGGATGAACACAGCAGGCCGAGCAGCATCAGAGGAGCAGGAAAGCTGATGTTTCGGGCCTAGACCCTTCTTCAGAAATGAAGAAGGG